CGCAGCAGTATATTTTTATTTCTGGTGTTTAGTTGGTTCGATTCTTATTTACTTGCGAAAGCTTGCCAGCGCTCACACTGATACATAGATACAAAATATAACACAAAAGGTTTAATGTGACAAGCACTTATAGGCAAACATAAGAAAAACGAATAAAAAAGAATACAACTATGCATAAATTATAAAAGGAAAATTAAGTTGCTCAAAGTGGGGAGCAACTATGAGCAACAGACCTAGCTATCCTAAGCATTCCGATACGTTTAACAGTGAGGTTTGGCCAAAAAGCGTTCTTCTGAATTGAGGGCCAAATGGGATGATGGCGTATCTATTCTCTGCGAAATAATGTCTACAATTATTCATAACATTGAAGCTATCAATGTTACAAAGATAGAAATGTGTGTACCCCATAACCCATCCGTGGTTAGGGAACATTTAAGAACAGCTGGCACGCACACAATCCCACCTGTTGATAAGTGAGATGCGGCCTATGGGAGGGCACGACATTCCAGAAGATATATATTTAACCGCCGCTTAGATGATCCCATATTATACTGTTCAAAGATGGTAGACGGCAAAGAGTCCAAGTGCATTTCGGATGGACAATTATGTCTGATTCTTTATAAGTACATTACACTTACGTCATTACTGCAAAACCAAACAGCACACGCTTAAAACAATCGAACTGTTTATTACATGTGAAGTTAATCTATTTATTATATAATGCAACCACATGCTAATCAAAGCATTCGTGTGGTCACGCAACCAATTTCGCCACCAAAATGTGTTTTTTAACGAGCTCAGTACAATGGCTTTATCATGCATCGCAGCATTTCACCTCCTAATAATGAATTTGAATTTTGTTATGTTACTCGTATATATTATCATTAAGGCTCAAAAAAATGTATTACAGCAATTTGTGGAGCAAACTGTCTTGATTAAGAAAAATTGAATTTTATCTCTTCCCTGTATTTATATATTAGAAATGTCCTTATTGGTGCACAGAAACATACATATTTTTAAGTCGAAGTAAGAAGTAGACATGGGGAGAAATTGGCTGTGCTGAAAATCAATCTGGAACTGTTTAGGAAAACACCTTTGGTATGGCAATTAAGGTTTACAATAATTTACCAAAAGAATTAAAAGATCTTCCGACTAGTCTTTAAAAATCGACTTGGTGTATTACTTTTGGAAAAAATGTATTATTCAATAAATGATGATTTGCGTGAGACACTGTAGTTGATATAAATTTAATAATGTATGATATGATATGCACGATACAAATAATATAAGAACTGACCAATTCATATGACTAATAATGTAAAATTCCTTTAAAGATAAATTTGCGCGCCATTGTGTGTGGCGGAATATGCGAACTTACGATTGTACCACCTTACACATTTTGTACCATATTCTTGCAATAAATTATTATTATTAGTCTTAGTAAATACGCTGTTCAACATCTTGAGAGAAAAACTATGTATAATTTATGTTTCTACCCCACTACTATGAATTTATAATGAAAAGTTTAGTATAGATTGAACAAATAACTAAAAGTTGGAGCGATTTCAAAAATACTTTCACCATTCCAATGCTACGTTTCGCCCAAGTATATTATATTTTTTTACAAAATATTATGATAATAATGTCCGGCCTGTATATTATTATGTATTCATCCACCATCAATCCTAAAACTATCACACATAAAACACACACTAAAATACCTTTATAAAAAAAATTGCTAGAGGTACGTTATCAAGTCGTGGAGGTAACAAAAATTTATTATATGATCTACCAATCTATTCTAATAACAAAAATATTTTGTAAGTAAGGCAGCAGTGTTAGCCTAGTGGTTTAACCACCACTCTCAACCCTAATATAGAAAGCAGTGTTGGCCTAGTGGCTTCAGCGTGCGACTCTCATACTTGAGGTCGCAGGTTCGATCCCCGGCTGTGCACCAATGGACTTTATTTCTATGTGCGCTTGAACGGTGAAGGAAAACAGCGTGAGGAAACCAACATGTCTTAGACCCAAAAAATCGACGGAGTGTGTCAGGCACTGGAGGCTAATCACCTACTTGCCTATTAGTTTTAAAAATGATCATGAAACAGATTTAGAAATCTGAGGCCAAGACCTAAAGAGGTTGTAGCGCCACTGATTTATTTTATTTACTCTCAACCCTAAGGTCATGCTTCGAGCTGCTGTTCACCAATGGAATTTCACTTGCTATGTATTAACCCGTAGAAGTAAGTGAGGAAGCCGACATATCTTTTTTTTATTATTATAAGGTTCTTAATCCCGACGCTTGTGGTGCAGGACCTTATTTTATTCACATATTTTGTTAAGAAGACTCGCAATAGTACTGGCTGGCTTCTTCAATATTGTTAAATTTATAGGCGAGTGGAGGCCCGCCGTCTCGCGATACCCGCCCGTACGCTTTTGTTGCAGAGTGACGTATATTAAAATTCTATTGCAGAAATTTTCCAAATGCGATTTGAAGCTTCTTAATATTAACTGCAAACTGACATATCTGAAACCCAAAAATCTACTACAGTCTAATAATAATCTAATATAAAAAATTCTCGTGTCACAATGTTCGTTCCCATACTCCTCCTAAACGGCTCGACCGATTCTTTTGAAATTTTTGAACCATATTCAGTAAGTCTGAGAATCGGCTACTATCTATCTTACAAACCCCTAAGTGATAAGGGTGGTGCACTCCAAATTTTTTTTGTTATACAGCATACAAAAATACATACACTAATTTTTACCCCTCTACGATTAACCCCTATTTTTTATTTGATAATTAAAAACTTATGACATGAACTCTGTGGTTTATATAGAGAAAAATTCACAAAACAACCTAAAAAGTTTTCATTTCGGAAAACCGAACAGTCTCTGGGGTAGCATAGCAAAATGTTCCATGTTGGTATGTACTAAAGAGGTAGGCTATGTAAAATCACATTAAGGAGAAACGAAGTTCGCGGGGGCAACTAGTTGTCTATAAAAACATCAGTGAAAGGGATGCGATCTCAGATACCATTACCATTATGATTACCATTACCAGAACCCATAGAGGGTTGTAGCGCCACTAGATTATTATTGCAGTGCAGTTACTTACATATGGTAATAGGTACACGTTTTTACGATGCGAGCACTGAGCACTTTAGTGTCGACGCTAAAAGTCAACGTACCTGTCTCGAACTTTGTAAGACCACAGAAAGTTCTGATCGTTGAACACAGTAATTTTAGGTTTACTATTTCAGAGTATATTTCGATAAGTATTAGGTTATAAATTAAATCAATTCTGTCATTCTTTAACAGAAGCAAGCCGTGAAGTTGAATTAAAAAATCGTTCACTTAATTGTGAAACTGATACATTTAATTTTAGGAGTGGCATTGAAACAAATTTATCATTTCATTTTTATCTTCTTTCATGTCTGTCGGCACATATTAATCAAGATAATAACGATCGTGAAGCGTAACTTGAGAACCGAAATCAATTGTTCAAATCAAACAATAGTGTTTAATTGTTTCGCCGGAAATATAACACAAATAATATCATCAACGACTTCGAGGTACTAAATTATCGGAAAAGTATAGTCCTAATATTAGCCTTACGGCGTTTTCATTCCTTAGGCATATGTCTCAGCATAAATTAGGTAAATCGCTATAGAGTATTCAAATAACAATGAACAAGATAGGCCCGAGCCGAACGATTACATTTATAACAATAGCAATTCACGTTATTACATTGAGCCCTAGGATATTACACTATTAAAGTAAAATGAAATTCTAATATGGACCCTTTTCTCTATTGCTATTTAATTTTCATGTTTAGTATTCTTGTTCCTAAACATTATCTATGAATAAAATACTAATGTATAATAATACTGTAGTTAAATGTCACTTAAAGGTTTTTTCTTAAATTATTCTAATTATAGTTGTGTGTAGACGTTAAATATAAACATGTATTATATTTCTACACTGATTAACACGTTCACTGCGGCAAGTAAAATCATAATTCTTCATCAGGTGCGGCGGCGGGCCAAAATGCGCCCCCAATGATATTTCCGCCAGTGCGTGGCAGGTCTTTCTAGACCCAACAGCACTAGGATAGATTAACTCTCAGTGGATGCACAGCAGCGTCAGTGCGTGGTAGGTCGATAAAAGCCTGCCGTTATGTTTTGATGGAGAACACCTACAATTTTGACCGCAAGATGAAATATATATTTGTCCCTGTCGAATTTTTACAAACACCTGAGATAATCGTTACGCACCAGCGAGAGGGACATAGATTTCTTCGTCCGCACCAGCTGAAATACCGCGGCAGGCCGATATCGGCCTGTTACGCAGTGAACGTGTTAATATATAAAAAGACGAACTGTTTTAAATTAAACAGGCTCTCATTTTTATTCCATAAGGTTTAGAAAAATCTGCAAGCATAAAAAGAATAGCTACTAACAAACTACCTACTACATAAGATAAGGCGGTTCACCTTTAACTAGGAAGAACAATTCTAATACCTATTAATTAATATTCAAGTTAGACATTTTTATAATAATGGTTACGATGACATCTATTTCATTAGAAATTAAACTATTATATTAGTGCTTCTTATTCTTCGATAAACAGTAAAAATTAGCTTCATCGTTTAGCTTGTATTTTAAAAGATGGCGCCAGAAGGACCTTTTGACACTTCTAATGTAATAGACTACTGTCAAGAAATTTTGTGGGATTGCCAATTGCCAAATGCCAATTGCATCCAAAATCAGAGTCGTTTTTGTTTATGTTTGTTTGTTATTAATTTTTATTTAAAAGTATTCCATTGTGAATTGTATCCAAAATTATAAAATCGTAACGTTTACGAATAAATAGTAATAGAAATAAATGATGTGATTCTCAGTTTAAAGAAAAATAACATAATATTTGGATTTATAATAGAAGTATTCTGTATTAGATACTAAACAGCTACACTATAGTATTAAAAAGTGTCTTAAATCATGCCCAGAAAGCCGTGCTACTGGACGCGCAGACTTGAATTACAGTTAGTTGAATTCGTCCGCCAAAAAGAATTTATTTGGAAGCCTATCGGTAACACAAATCATCATATTCAGCAAAAATATAAAGCCTATGCTGAGTTCGCATCAATACTAGGGCCTGGGTTTACAGGTACTGATTTCACTTTTACTATACTTAAAGATAGCTGTTCCTTACAATTATTGAATATAAAACCCTAAAGGCCATGTGACTATATTTTATATAAATAATCATGTGTTTCAGTTGATTTATCAAGCATGTTTTTGTTCTTTGTAAGAAATACTTTAGAAATAATTGACTTGTAGCTAGATCTGTAAGGGATCGTTGGGTGAACATCAGAAGCACTTTCAATCACAATCTACGAAAAGTTCTAAAGTCTCAGGAAACAGCAAAATGTCCCGAAGAAGTGTACACTCCTTGCTGGCCACTATGGAAGCCCCTTCAATTTCTTAAAGACCCTTCTAAAAGTGAAGACAGCTTTTATGAGGTAATTTAATATGAGAATCAGTGTTTTAAAGTTAACTTAAATTTTATTTTATTTTAAACAACTTATCTAAAAGTGAAAAATGCATGTTTTTCTTGTAGTGTTAATGAAATAAAGTAATAAATATTGCTTTCTATGTTCTATTTATATAATAGAACAATATAAAATGCATTATAGAAGTACAAATTTTAGTTTTATTATGATATATATAGAATGAAAGCCCATCTAATCCTTTGTTTTAAACTCTACCCTTGAAAAAATTCCATATACTATTATATGAATTTAAGCTACTAATAAATATATATAATTACTTTTTTACAGGAATATTCAGCTATTGAAAGCAGCTTAAAACCAGAACCAAATTTGAGTGAAACATTAATTAGTATACGCCAAAGAGGACAGCATATTGATAGACCCAAAAAGAAAACTAAAAAGAAATTTAAACAATGTAAAGACATACTGGACAACTTATTAATTGCAATGGCTCCATTAAAGACATCATCAGAGGGCTCTAGTTATTGGTATTTTGGGCGTCACGTCACAGAGCGTTTGAATGCTATGAGATCAATTGACGCTAAATGTGCAGGTCAAGAGATTTTAAAACTCTTGGAAGGAAACGAAAATAGCCAATTGAATTCATTAGGAAGCTGAATACAGTAATTCAATTAATGTTGAAAATATCTTGAAAAACGGACTAGGTAGGTATAGTACTAAGAAAATAAGTTGTTGTCCTTAATTTATATCATTTATTTTTGTTTCGCTACTTAACTTAACATCAGGTAAGCCTCCTGTCCATTTGCCTTAAAAAAACTACAGGTGCAAACTTTCCCGCTCCATGCCAAATCTGGCTGAAATAAGATCCCAGACTTTGACAATAAGCCTTAGCTTATTACTATGCAGTTAAGGACAGCAAATACGTTTTTTATGAAAACAGAATCAAGAATTTCTAAATTTCATCATAGAAAAAACAATCATTTGTTTTTACAATTTGTATGGTGAATAATATTCGGGCTTATGGTAAAGTATACTAATAAAATTAAACTTATAAACATAAACTAATAATAATAAAATAATATACATTGAAATAAATAACGAAACTTAACATAAACTAAAATATATCATTAAAAGGAGTCCCTTTAGGCAAGGTTCCGAAGATACTGGCAGCGTTCCCCCTTTGAATTGCTAGACTAATTCTTTGTCCGAGGTAGCTGCCAGATCTTCGGTCTCCTGTGATGTCGACTAACCTTTTTGAAATTTCTTTAAAAAGCCTTAAAGCGCTAGGACCCCACGGACCAAGGGTCTCGACACCGAATGGGACAAAATCATATTCAGAGCCCAGACCCCTGTATTTGCCTGCTTTATTTTTTTCAGCCGCTTCACAAGCCGCACCAGCTCTGTAGTTGGTTCCATGTAGATGGGAAGGGGCCAGCGTGTCTGAACAGGTTGCATCCCATACAAGTACCCGACCCATCTTCCATGGAATCAAACTCATACCGTCCGGTCTCTTGCCATCGTCTCTTGCAATACCACTTGGCTCAAGAAGACTTGGCACGTTGACGGTGGCAAGGGAACGGCGTATGATAACGTTAAGTGCGGCATGTCTCGAGAAGCGGCCTGCACTTTTTTGGCATGACAGGCCGTGATGTCCTAACTTGTCGACATCACTGCCACAGGGACATATATGAGGAGCGCAGACCGGAACCCCAAGCCGTAGACAGGTTGCGATTCGAAGCGTGTCAGGCTCAAGAAAAGTTCCTGTATTTGACGATGGGTAAGCGTGAAGCCAGTAGCCGGCCTCATGCGTGCCCACGGCCAAAAGCCTAGCACGCGCCGAACCTGTACTACGCCTCAAAAGATCGTCAAAAGTCAACTTGCAGTGTATGTCATCCCAGCTCCTCTGTGAATTTAGAGATAATGGAAAATTTTGACCTGGGCATGCAATCAAGAAAGCATTTCTAGCTTCTTCCAAGCCAGCAATCTCAAAGTTTGAAGGGGATGCCCTTAAAATTTTACTTATGAGATTTGCTGAGTATACTTAGATTCAACATTATATATCTACATTTTGTTTTATAGATGTTCCTGCCCTGACACAGAAGAGAGAGAGAGGAAAAGACATTCAAAGACGTTATAAAGAAAACTTTTTTTTTAATTTTACTTAATACATTTTTATTAAATAGATATCATGTGTTTATTGTTTGCCATTATGTCATTGGTACATTGATTCAGATTGGATGCAAGCAAACATTCATCTTTACTTTTGATACTTGTATTTATGCATCTATCAATATTCCTCTCCAACTTCTTTATTAATTTATCCTCCTTTGCATAAAACTTGGTGATTAAGCCAATAAGGTTATCTGTTAAATTTACAATTGGAGATACAAATATTCAATAAAAATAAAAATAAACTAATTTTTGATGTGAATTTATCTCTTGGATTTATTAACTCCTTTTTGGTTGTTTCAGCAGAGATTAACAGCGCAACTCTTCAATACTATGTAGATGTGAATATCGCCTTATAAATCCATTAAGAAAGTTTCAACCATTATTTACATAAAAAAATATTTCACCAAATTAACAAATTTTTAATATATTATTTCATTCAGTCTAATACCAATTCAACTAAGGGTCCTTCAAGAAAAAAAATATCAGTTAAAAGGCCGGCAACGCACACGCGAGCCCTCTGGCATCGACTGTCCATGGGCGGCGATATCACTTAACATCAGCCTCGGCCTGTTTGCCCTTAAAAAAGTCTCATTGCACAGATTTAACTAATCATTCACTCCTGGAAAATTGTATATGCGCTGTGATAATAGACTTCTGAATAACACTAAAAATATACCTTTTACAACTTTCCCGTTCTCAATAACACCATTTCGTTTAAGTACGCAGGCGATAAGGCACTCGCCATGTACTGGTGACTCCATCTTTGGTGACAATCTTTTGATCTCTCTCTTATCATTTCTCTGTACCTCTTTTAAACATTCAGACATGTTGCGTTTAAATTCTTGGACGTGTCTTGAGACTTCGTTTGGTATAGGACTATAGGACCAATCCGGTTCTTTTTCTGTCGGGTTACCATATATTTTTACTAACATGTTTGGGAAAGACTACTGAATCTAAAGAAGACATCAAACCCCAAATGTCATAGTAATCTTCTAATTTCTAAGCCATTTGTACTATTATTAAGTTACGGAAGAGGAAAATTTATACAGTAAAAGCCAGTTTTTATTTACTACTAGCAGACTCGACCAAGCTTTGCTGTGGCTAAAGTTATTGTTATATTACATAGTAGTAAACTATTCAAGGGAAATGGCAGGAGCACACCAGTCATGGGGACCATCCTTTTTTGGTGGTAAATTAAATTGTAGCTTATGTGAAACGTTGCTACTTTCAACACAGCGCCATCTGTTAGAATTGTGACTGTCAAATAATTTGCAATAAAATAATATTAGGGGTATAAATGAAGATAGATCTATCTTTTAAGTTAGTTCAAACTGCACACGGTATGCAAATTTGATTGAAATCGGTTTAGTATTTTAGGAGTCCATAGCGGAGAAACAACGTGACACGTAATTTACATATATTAAGATTAAATTATCCGAGATTTGATTTTATCTATCCCTATTATTTTTAATAAACGTTAACATGTCACATTAAATTGTGTTTGGCTATATCGTTAGTATAATTATTGTTTTTAGTAATATATAGTTTATGTCAGATTACGAAACAAATGCGGCTGTCTGTAATGAGCTGTTAGATAAAAAAAAATGGTGCGTGTACTTATGTACGCGCGTAAGAAGTTACACTTCTTTGGCTTTCTTAATTTTTTTTAAATATTAAATAATTAATAATAAATATTTAGCGTTAATAATTTAACAATATTTAGTATATTATTCAATTATTAATTGATATTAATAATAATTATTATTTATTATATTATTAATTCAATTTAATAACTAGGTATGTTTCATAACCTTTTAACTAAGTAACAATAGGTCTTTGTGAAAAAGCATTGCTAAATTTCTTTGAAAAAATAATTAAAACTCCTTTATTTGTTAAAAGGTACTACAAATGTCATTATGGTCATTCAAAATTCTTGGCATAGCTGCTAACGTCACGCATCTTCTATTTCCTTTTACTTGTAGATTGTCTTATTCCTATCACGCTCGGCGCCCATACTGATAATTTTGTGTCACGGTGCGCGCGCATCGTAAAATTTCACTCTCATAAATTTTTCATAACGCGCCTAAAGAAGTATAACTTCAAAAATCTCTACCTCACAGTCTTCGTGGCATAGGCTCGGATTCAAACTCAAAATATCTTTATTCATATAGGTAAACAAGTAACACTTATGAACGGCAAAATAGAAGTTAAATTAATTGTAAATTATACATTTACTACCAGTTCGCAAGTCAGGCGTAGAGCGGGCAAGAACTGGCAAGAAACTTTCCGCCACTCTTTTTAGTCGCTAATTTTTGAGTCATACAAATTGTTTGAACTGGAGCAAATCAATCCCAAGGATTAGGATCATTTAAATATTCGTCAAATTTATAAAAAGCTTTTTGATTAATTTACGTTTAACGAGGGCTTTAAATTTATTTAGTGATAATTATCTAATTTAAAATAAAATATGTTTATTATGGAACATAAGATACATGTATCACTTATTCCACGTCATTAAATTTGAAGGCATCCCTACTCATCGGCAAAGAAGACAGAGGGTGTAGGCCGAGAGAAAAAGCCGGCGTAAAAAACTCTCGGTACTCTTTTAAAACAGCAAATCATCAAACAACACTTATTTAAAACAAATATCGCAAATTGATTAGAAGTAGCCTGTCTAGCACTAGTCCCAGGCCCTTTTATCAACTAGATAATCGTTGACTTTATAGTAAGCCTTTTTACACAGCTTTTCTTTAATACATTTCTTAAATTTATTGAAAGGCAGTGATAAAAGAGCCTCTGGGATTTTATTAAAGAAGAGTATCCCTTTCCAAAAAAAAGAATTACTAACTTTAGATAGTCTAGTACGGGGAAATTGCAGCCTGCGTTTGTTCCGTGTATTAACATTGTGCGTATGTTCTATTCTAGTAAACTTATCACTATTTTTGTATACATACATAATATTTTCATAAATATATTGCGAGGGAAAGGTAAGTATATTAATTTCCTTGAATTTATCTCTAAGAGATTCCCTACATTTTAAATTATAGATTGCACGAATAGCCCTCTTCTGCAGGATGAAAATAGTTTCGACATCAGCAGCATGACCCCATAATAATAAGCCATAAGTCATTAAGCTATGAAAGTAACTAAAATAAACAAGTCTAGCTGTATCGACATCAGTTAGTGAGCGAATTTTTTTAACCGCGTAGGCTGCAGAACTAAGTCTCTTCGCCAATCCGTTAATATGAGGGGACCACTGAAGTTTTGAATCCATGGTGATTCCGAGAAATACAGTTGTATCATCCAGATTCAATTCCTCACCGTTTATAATTGGTCTAGTATCCATAACCCTTGCATTTTTTGCACAAAATTTAATGCATTTTGTCTTTTTTGCATTAAGTAGAAGGTTATTCATACTAAACCAATGGACAATCGAAGACAGAGCATTGTTCACATCGTCAAAATTTGTTATTTGTCGTTTGATTTTAAAAATCAAGGACGTGTCATCAGCAAACAAAACTATCTGATGTTTTCTCTCTATATTTCGCTTGGGAGTTGTAAAAAACCATAATTGTGTTGTGTCATATAAATATCACCTTTTTGCCTTTAATAAATGAATGAAACACCAAATACCAATGAAACACAGAATTCATAGATTCAAATCATAGACCTGTGTCTATGATTTTGAGATTGTTGAGGGATGAATTTTGATATAAAATAAACAAAGTAAAATACTGTACCCAGGTTATTCTCTTTTAATTTTGTGTCCTGGTTAATATTATTCATTTTCATACTTCCCGTTTCCACGCCAACTACTTCCGAACCACCGCAATTTGCGATTCGAAAAAAATATAAAACAATAATTGCAAGCATTTTCTCGGTTTGAGATGAAAATCTGACTAACACGCAATTTTAACTGGCTTGTTATTTTTAACGATACTAACTAATAGACCAATCAATTTTATATTTTAGTGCAATTATTGCTAATATTACGAGTAGTCTACTAACCGTAACCTCAAGGTCGTGTATTCGAACCCTAGTCGGGTACTAAAAGTCAAAAATCATTTATTGAAGATCACAAGGATACTGAACTAATAACCAACTGAAAAAATTGGTTTTCGCGGTTATTGATAATGACACACGGATCTGACGGATTTTGTTTCTGACAGAAATGGATGTGGCGGAGATCGATGCCAACTACGCTAGGTCATTGTCAACTTACAGGATGTTCTAAAATTACAGATTAAGAGAAAGTAAATCTACCAAAAATTATAAATGTGAACTTTAATTAATATCGCAAATATTGTATCAAATACAATTGTCACTTTCTTCAAGCGGTACGCATACTAGATCTTCACGTTCTTCGGAATTGTCATTATTAAGTTCAATGTCCCTATAGTAAGCTAAACTCTCAATAGTTCTCCAGTCTTCACCAAAGTGCTTCGATAACAGGTTCGAGACATCAGCAATTTTTTTTATATTAATTTTATTCCCCTTTCGTCTTATTACAGGTTCCAATTCCGCGCAACGTCTTCCCTTCTTAGTCACATATTTTGGCTGAGTACATTCGCTTCTGTAGTTTTCCTCTCCTTGTACGCTTACATTCTGGCGTCCTTTGTGCAGTATAAATCGTTTGCAAGCATTAAATTTGAAATGCCAGCTGCCAGGAGGTTTGCATACATTAGTCACTTCGTTCTTCCAGTCATACACTTCAACATCCACACCCAAATGTTTCACAATAGTTGCGTGTTTTGTAAATAAATTTACATACATTTGTGGGTCGAATATGACTGACATCTTCTTTACTTCCTTTTAAATTTTCGCGAATACCCTGTCGGGCGGTAAGAACGAATGTCCAACCATGGGGAATATAATTTCAAGTTTTTTTACGTGTGGTGGTGCGTTTGAATACAACCATTTCATGCACATGCCCACTAAAATTGTATTCTTATTCTGACCGCCGCAACCGTCAGCAAACAGTCTTACTCTTGTTTTATCGCTTGGGATATCCAAGCTGATCAATGTGTCGAATACTGCACTTGCGATTTCAGATGAAGATTTTGCATGCTCATTCTCACACCAGTAATAAGTTCGTACGTTATCTAAAGCAGATTTAGAACTACCAATAACAACTGTAAAATTGCTCATATTGAACTGCCTACTTAAAGTAAGCCGCTTGGTCGGGCAGTTTAGGCAGCGCGCTGTTTTTTTGGCAATCGAATGACAGTGAAATGGTATCATGTTCTTCCTTTCTTAACAAGTCATAAAAGGCTTTGGCTTTCATGCTATGTAACCTTTTTTGGGTTATGTGAATCTGTTTCTCTTGGCCGTTAGTAGTTTCTATTTTTCGTTTTAATTCAAAACATCTGGAGCAAGTATCTTTCAAGGGAGAACCAAAACCAACATTGTACTTGCGGTTAAAGATTTGTCTGAAAAATGACTGTTTTACCTTTAGATAGGGGGTACTTGCAACTTGCTCTTCATACATTTTCCACAGCTTTTTAATATTTAATTCAGGATTTGGCCCTGCAGTAATGAGGTTCAGCTGCTTCTATGGACTCAATAAATGTCATTACACTTCTTTGCCTCTGCGCATATCGATCTTTTTTGTGGTTTCCACCTCGATTCTCTTTAGCAACACTGCCTCCATCTTTATAAGATCTCTGTAGAATGCCTGTAACTCTATCTTTCCCCACTTGTAATATTTTAATAAAAGCACTTTTGCATACCCTGACCTGTTTGTGAGGATTTTTTATTGTGACATAGTATTCTGCACTTAAATTCTTTGGTCCTCTAGACTGATCTTTGAGCCTTTTTCTGTGGCATTTGGAGAGACGGCAATGTTTTAGTATAAAGTTGTCTTGGCTGACTTTGTTGTTCAATTTGTAGAAATTCTGGTGAAACCGAGCAACATCTTGCGTTTTTAGTGTAAGGCATTTAAAAGTAGAATTCGTTTTGTGCTTACATTTTGGGAAAGATGGAAGTTTTTTCGCAGAATATCTAAAAATAAACAATACATAAATTAGACACGAATCCGTTTTTAGGGTTCCATACACGAAGGGTGCCAAATGGGACTCTATTACTTTGATTCTGCCTGTCTTAAAATACTATCTTTGGAACCATAATAAGTACACATCCTGTAACACTCTGTATAGCAAATCCTATGGAAGTTTCACTCACCGCTCACATCGTTTTTTCTCACTTTTCCAGTTACTTTTGTTGACCCCTCGCTACCTTGAATGTTCCGGAGGAACTGATTCTATTTTTTTTAGTAAATCGGACATTTTTTTGATGAAAATTCACGATATAGCCGGCACGAAATCACAAGCAAATGCAAGAGCGGCCATTACTATATTTAGTAACGCCATGACGGTTTTCTGTCAAAATACTTTTCTCTGATTGGCTGAGGTGGATCTAGCGGCTTTTGATGTTGTCTTGTCAAAGATCTGGCGTGTTTTGAAATGAAACGCAAAAAAAGTACGCGAATTAACTAGGATTTAACTGGGTTTGAAAGATTATATATATTATTGGACCATAGAGCTCAAGATACTGAATCCATAGACTACAAAAGCTTATTTTTCCCCAAAACTGGATCTGACGGATTTTGTTTCTATACGACACAATTGTTTTATTATAAGGTCATTTAAATTTGTCAAGTAATATTTTTCTCCTTATTTAAAAAAATAACAGTTCAATGTAACTGTTACCAGCAAAAAAAGATGTATACTGTAAAATTCACCTTTCTGGATCTGGCGGATTTTAATTCTATACGACACATTTATTCATATAGGTAACACAATGTACACTTATGAACGTCAAAAAAGAAATATACATTAAATAGAGTAATAACAATAGAGTTTTCTATGTGTGTAGACAACGTGGGCACGTAGGCTGATCACATGCTGAGCTATAAATGGAGAAGACAAAAACACGTGGCATTTTAATTTACAACTCGTAATTTGAGATTTCAATAAATTATTTTGCATAAAATATATAATACTAATTTTTCATAATTTCTCTTTACGAAATTTTAAAAATAGAATTTCTATAAGGTCACCCTTCTCACTCTCTCGCAATCGGTCTCAATCGCTCTGTCCCTTTCCTTCGATAAAAACGCAGCACATCTTCGTGACGTTCCGTAAAAATTTTACCCTCATGCGCCTAAAGGAGTTTCACTTCAAAAAATCAATTTATATATTTCAATAGTTTGGTTATTGTTTCAAAATCTGTTCAGTAATTAATAAAACTATATTTTTTGGAGTAGTGTTTAATATGCATCTAATATTTACAATTTTCATAATATACAAATAACTTAAACATAAAATTACAAAAATGCTTGGTTTAACCTAACAAAAATAACTAATTACTATTTACTCAAAATAAGAACCTATTTTAAACCAAATTGCGAAATTTCACTAAATGTAAGTCGCCAATACAGGATTTTTTAAATGAATTTTTGCTTTGACAATTTTTACCATATTCTGTGATTACGTTTTATGTTTTTCTCCATCTGGTCCAAGATTACCTTTGATTTTCGTAACAATAGTTATTAAACGACATAATTTTTAATGATTTACAGTAACTTATATACACATTTCAGTTGTCTCGTGTTGGCATTGACAAAATCATGGCTCTTCTCACTTTTTGGGCTCTTGATGATTTATGTCTGAAAAAAATTAACTAAATTATTGTTTCATATCGACCTTTCCGGGCTGGATATAAAATTTTATATATTTTGAAAATATAATGTCTATGTTACTCCTATTTTATTGTACTTACTGCAGTGTTTTCTACTTAAGAAATCGTCCAGCAGTGTTTGAGTTCGATTCTCGACGAAAATACAAATTTTCTTATATTATAGCATAGAGAATTTTTTAAGTACATAATTTTATAAAAACTTTGGAAACATACATTAAAAATGAATCTAGATTCTAGACATATACTAACAGGCGTGCGGCGTTGGAGGGGCACAGGCTGCGCAGAGAGGCGCAGGGGCAGGGGCAGCGAGGGCAGGCAAAGGGGCACGGGACACGCATCGAGTACACACGCACCCGCCGCAGCCCCAACAGTGGTGCTGATATTATGAAATATTATATCAAATATAGATATGATAAAAATATAAAAGAGATAAAATAGATGATGACACAGATTAGCTGATGATTGGCATCGAAGTATTAGGTAACGGGCAGGAGGCTCACCTGATGTTAAGTGATAACATGCTCATAGACACTCAATGCCAGAGGGCTCGCGAGTGCGTCGCCGGCCTATTAAGAATTGGCGCTCTTTTCTTGAAGGACCCTAAGTCGAATTGGTTCGGAAATACTTCAGTGGGCAGCTGGTACCACATAGTGTGGTGCGCGGCAAAAACTGCTTTAAAAACTTTCAGTTGTTGAACGACGGACGTCGAGGTGATAAGAGTGGAATTTCATATTAAATTAAGTTTGGTCTTTAAAAATTCAAATTAAACATTTATAATAACCCGCCCAAACCCTTTTCTAAGCGAGATAGCATCGCACCAGACCCTGTGACGACGCTCTTACCTGCCAAGAAATGTATGTGGCATTATATTCCTGTCAACAAGAGTAGAAGCGGTTTTTTTTTAAATCATAAATTAAAATTGCTTACCTTCCTACTAAAATGGTCCAAGGGCGTAGAGCAACTGCATTCGGTGACATTTTTAATGCTCTTCCAGTCTAAGGCAACTGAATTTATTTCTGCCTCCAACGCTGACAAACTCGGTGGGATCATGTCATCTGTCTTCTGAAATAAAGATTATTTAATTCTAGCTGCCCCCGCGAGCTTCGTTTCGCCGCATTTTTAACTTAGCTTACCTTTTTAGTAGCTACATACCAACATAATATTTTCCTTTTCATTTTTATTTATGTAAGATACTATACATATAAGAAAATAGTACATATTAAACATTGACACAACAAGAGAAAATATGTAAATTTTACCATAAATAACAAACTAATTTTATAAATTAATTCATACGGTTAAGTAAGGAAAGTTCATCACAAACAATTCAGCGCAGTATTTACTTACTTCAGTTATAAGTGGGATATTGGTGGGTTTCTGTGGTTTAGTCTCTTTGAGGGGATGATCGTGGTTTGCGCACTCCATTTCTGACAGATTGGCGCCTGACTCGTATATGAATCTAAATAAAAAAAACATATACACATACAAGTAGAATAAAATTCACGCTAATTTTACGAATTAATAAAAAATCTGTTTAAATAGCAATTGCCACGTCAGTCAAACTTAAACTAAAATTGATTTACAAAGTAATAATATTGAAAACAGTTGAAGTAATAATTGCTACCAAGTATTTGATTATTACAATCGTATTTATCTAATTTTCTTTTTAAATGTTTTGATAATTATACGGGCCAGGAAAAATGAGCCATACGAATGGCGAAAGAATGCTCTGGCCGTTTGGTTAATAAAAAAAAGGAATTTTTATTTCAAAATGGATTAAATGAAACAAACGTTCTTATTTAATTATTTTTACTTAAACCAAAACTTGCATTCATATAACACATTACATAAGTCCGCCATTACATAAGAATGGTTTAACAATACAAATGGTTTTTTGTAAAGTCGGTTTACGGTCAATAGTTTAACGTGGCGTCATAACAAAACATTGATGAAATGATTGCATACTTTCATGAATAAAATTGAACCATTCGTATTGAATTAAAGAAGACGAAAAATCAAAGGAGTAAATCCTCGGATGCATAGGCCAATCGAGTGGAAGAGAGATAGATGCGGCGCAAGCGTACAATGAGCATAATGGGACAATACGCGTAACGGGACAATCAGTCATGCTTTTTCGTGCGTGCAGTCGGCGTTCATCGATATTTTATTAGACGTTGTTACATCAATAATAATAAAACTTTATTCATGACGGAATGCCGGAAAATAATAAATATAGATCACCTGCATCATGAGCACACCCCACACTCACCCTCACGTACATACCCTCACTTTCACATTTTTCCTTTTGAAAATATTTGAATCTTTTTGTAAATATTATGTATTCCATATTAGGCTATATGTTTAGTATAATTGTTGATTGTTATATATAATATATGTTAACTGTAGATAAATAAAAGTCCGAAATATAGTTGTGACAAAATTCATCAAATTTAGAATTATTCAGTGGTACACGTTAAATAATTATTTTTTAAAGTCGTTAAATTCGATTATATCTTCTAAACCGTTTTTGTGCAACAGTTTGAATAAAATAAAATAAAATTAAATAATTACTTGTTATCAATATGCATTCCAGCCGTCCTCGTCTCGATCTCGACAGTTTCCAAATTGCCATTTTGATAATTGACCGACGTCTCGCTCTTGTCTTTCTTACTTGACAGCAGCTTCTTGAATGTCGTTATTCGCTGAAAATCATATAAACATAACTTCCTCCTGCATTTAAGAAGGTTAAAAGGAAACGTTGGCAAACCACGTCAACATTGTGTTACCTATTTCAATAAAATACTCGCTAATACCAATATCATTTACTCTAAGAAAAACGCTATTAGGATAATAAAATTCATTTTCTCACATTTATTAATAATTTACACTTAAATATAATTTAAAGTTTATAAAATTTATTAGAACTCTCCCTCATAGGCCGGCAACGCACCTATTAAAATGGGTAGCGGTGACTGCCTATAAGAGCTGTCCCGTAGGCTCGTAATCCCGCCAATACATATATATTCTCCAGGAACATATACATATGTCAGTGCTTTATAAAATGCTCAATATTTTACCTTAGCTAAATAGTCTATATGCTGGTGAAGGGCTGCCGAATGCTCTACAGCAGCAGGTAAGAGATCGGGAAGGGACTCCCGTGGGTGAACACCGCTCTCATGACGGCAGTACATACCGCTCCAGAACCTGTTAAACGGAAAAACTTGAACATTATTTAATAAAAAAAAATCGTCTAAAGCATGTCGGTTTCCTAACGCTTGTTAAATGCGGCCATAGACAAAAATCTTTTTGTGCACAGCCGTGATTTGAACGCACAGACTTGGCACACGTTAAAAAAACTTTTTAAGCTATTGCATAAATTTTATCGCGGGCTTTGAGTGCAGCGACTGAATCAAGAAATTCCGAAACGAAAATAAACGTTATTTAAGTGCGGCCAATACGCGTTAGAGTGGGACAGAACGCATACTGCGTATTCACATCTCTCTGACGAGATCGGTGACGTAGCGTAAGCGCGGCCGGTACGAGTTAGAGTGAGACAGACTATATAGGCGTGTTAGTCTGAGTCTGGTAGATTGAATTAATATCAAAGAAAAAAAAATACTGCATAAATAAATAATTATAATTGCACAAGTTCCCGAGCGACGGCAGTCCCCGAGTGCCATAGGTTTTTTTTTCTCCTTGGGGAAATACATTGCACTATATGCAGTGAGAGAATTATATGTTTCTAAACGAAAACATTACTACAAACAGGGAAAACGTTTTTATATTAGTTATAGGTAGGACTACATTATAAATAAAATAATTATACATACATTAAATAGTTACTGATAAAGCAGTATTGCCCCGAAGGGCTTGAGTGCACCCCTCTAGAGCCTTTGACCGTTCCAATCACGGCTGTGCACTGTGCATTCTCATAATATATTTAATAACTTTTTTTTAAATATTACCTGATACTTTGGGCAGACAAGTCGGGTTTCAAAATATCCGGATGGGCCTTGGGACTGTATAAAGGATTCTTGTACTCGTTCAGGTGACTCGCCATGTAACCCCATAAAGAGAAGGTGCGCTCTGATAATCTGAAAAATATATTTTCTCTACAAGATTAGTTAGAACTTTTATATATAGCCAAGGTAACTTTAAAATAATAAAATAAAGTTTCGTAATTAATCATAGAATATTTTTCTATGTTTTTGTTGCTTTTATTGCCAACCAAAAACAGAATGTTCGAGAACAATAATTAAATAGACACAGATAATATTTTTTTATTTTATATGTGTGTTCGTATGTACGGAAACGCTTTTTTTCATACAAAAACATACTAGCGTTGACAATTACAAATTTATCAAACAATTGTCACAAACATACTGACATAAGTCAGTAAAAGTATGTCAAAAGATAAATACCTAAGATCTCTTCTATCCTTTTCACAGTTCCCAACAAAGGTTCCATATTGACAAGCGTGCGCATGATCATGTAGAGTAATTAAAAACCGTTCGTTGAATTGGAAAGCCTAAAAAAAGAATATGTCCATTAGTACAAGCAGTAAAAGCTAGAGATAACTTTTTATTTATTTTTTTAATTGAAATCTTTCGCTTTTGAGATCACATATTTATAGTTTACCCATTACACTTATTCATTCACTCACATGCACCCACACACTCATTCATTCACATGCACACGTGACACGTGTGTTACGCGTCACATAATGCTAGCGAAAAAAATTTAGAGATGTTGAAAACAGTTTAAAAAATTAAAATTATAATTTAAAAAAAAATGTTACTAAGTATTTAGTTAGTTATGGAAGATCTGGGAACCCTGATACAGGTACTTTTAACTTAAAAGGGTTTACCTCAGGAATTTGTCGTAATAGCTGCCACGTACAATCCAGCAATTGCGTGAACACCGGCGATCGTTCTCTCGGGTCTCCTGCCACGTGACTACACCGGGATGTGAACTTGTGACCGAAGGATAACCAGTCTTTCTCTATTAATGCCTGCAAGTTTATATAGTTTTTTAATATAAATAATTCCTTCTTGTCATATATAAACGTGTTTCACCAGAATGGGCAGGCTGTATTGGAAGGTGCAGAGATAAAACATGGACGGCCGAAGCCGCTGGATAGAACCTCCGGAAAATTTATAAAATATTAGTATTTTATATTTTACGCAAAATAATTTATTTAAATCTTAAATGACAAATTGTACCACGTGTTTTTATTATCGAAGAAAATATTTTTTTTTTTATAATTTGTGTTAATTTTCGACACTTTTAATATTTTAATAACAATTAAATTCCCAACATATCTTCCTTTTTTCCTTCCTCTAAGTCTCGGCAATCTACAGTTTTAGATTTGTATAAATATGAACAAGACTTAAAAATTCGTTTACCAAAGAAGATTCACTTCTGACATGTGTACTTCGTACGCACGCACTTTTTTTGATATTTAATGGTTCTCTCACCTGGTACCCATTAATAGTCCGGTAGTGCGGTTCGAGGCAAACAGCAGCCAGCGAGCACACTTGCGCCGTGCGGTCCCACCCGTCGCTACAGTGCACGCACACACTCACACCGCTATCTATCGCATTCGCTATCCACCAAGATGTGTCTAGTATCGACCTGAAATATTTTTGTGATCGAAAGTGAAATAGGATGTAATATTAAAAAAAAGAAATATTTCGAATAACTGTCAACTGCAGTAGTAACTCAAAAATTATCATTTTATGTTGGACTTGGACTGTTTTCGAGACGGAATATACCTAATTTAAAAAGGAATACTTGAAGAAAATTCAGTAATTTTATGGAAAAATATATTGTACAAAAGTATTGACTAAATATGTGTTTAAAACTACGAAATCAAAAAATATATAAAAAGTTTATAATGTATTTTAACAGTTATAGCTCGTCCAAGTATCGCAATATTTCGCTATCCTTAAGCATCGGGCAATGTAAATAATAATAATTATATTAATAACATAAGAAAAAAGGCTTACTTGATATGTTTGAGCCACCCCGAAGACTCCAACCCACTTAAGAATGACGACATCGTTGGTGTATTTTGTTCACAAGCTGTAAACAAAAGTACTTCAGTCAATTTAAATAAATCCATAATGATTTTAGAAGTTATACTTCTTTAGGCGCGTTATGAAAAATTGATGAGAGTGAAATTTTACGATGCGCGCGCACCGTGACACAAAATTAACAGAATGAAGTTGCCCACAGAAGATGCTTCGGCATTGGACATAATTGAAAAACAACATTCGAATAATAATAGAATTTATGTTACACTTAATGTAAGAGAATAACAATAAATATTTATTTATTAAATTTTTCAAATGTAAACTGAACTTTATTGACTATAATGACTCCTTTTCCAGTCTTTGATTATTTTATTTGTAAGTAATTATTTGCATGCAATCAAAAACTATTTTTAATAATGCCAAAGAAGTATAACTTCTTACACGCGTACAGAAGGACACGCACCCTTTTTTTAAAATGGAATCTTGCTGTGGGCCTCAAGGGCCTATACAGTTCAGCATGATAACAAATTCAGTATAATAGCTACTCCAAAAGGATAATCAAAGTTGGAGGAAAGTTTCTTCGATATTTGCCGTTTATTATTTTCCTGTTTTGCGCTAGCTTTTGTGGTTGTCCGTTCATATTAGGAAAATCTTTGGAAATTATATTTAATATTTATCTGGCTATATTCATTTTAAAGTGAACACTTAAAATATTTTTCTACGCTTCAAAGGTAATTAAAGGAAAACACATACTTTCAACAACTTTCTGTAAACTCTTGCGCATCACGTGTATATTCCCGATTCCCATAAAGTGAAATTTGATGTTTTCATAAAACGCTTCGTTTTCATACCCCTTGCCAGCCGCACGATTTACCATCGCATTTATCTGTAAAATATTATTTTAAATTAATTTGTATACATAATTTAGTATTCATCTATAAATAGTCCGATCAATCTAGACCAAGAATGAGAGTGAAGGTACATAAAGTCCCAACAAGCTGAAAATCAGTAAAATTGTTCAAAACATAATTACCAGATGACTCGCAAGTGCGTTGCCGGCCTATATTTGATATGGTTAACGTCTACACGTTTATATTATACTTTTAATTAAACTCACCCTAGGTCGCGTATCCACTACATACATATATCCACAATTTGGATTCGCTCGCCGAATCAAATCTAACATTTGCTCATCTTCCATGCATCTGAAATTAATTAAAAATAAAGATTAAAACATGAAGGTTCTATTCCTGGCATAAAAATAATAATTCGTCTCTTAGTGTCAAATTAAGTTAGTTACAATAGTACAATTACATTAATTAAGGGCCTCATAGCCTAGCGGTCTTATTAAGTGTGAGCTAGGTGAGGGGTACCGGGTTCGATTCCTGGTTCGAGGGCAAGTTTTAATTTAAAATTTGTTCTCGGCCTTTGGGAGGGTTTTGCGGTACCGGGCGAGTGCCTAAACCGTACATGGAGGACATGGTCGAATTTCTAAGGCAAAAAGCACGAATTATAAAAATCTTATACTTGACGCTGGCTAATGCACAAACAGTGCCAGAGCCATAAAAAAAATTACATTAATTATTTTTTTATTAATAAGGGGGATTAACATGAAATGTTCGGATCGAGTCAATTAACTGTTGATTCTTAATCTTGCTTTGGTTAATCATTGAGATTCCTTATATTACATTTAAGAATCATAATTTATTTTGATTCAATTTTTTTTATTATTATTGAATTGTTTAATAATTTAGAATCTTAACGAATAAAAGTACGAATATTGTTATAACCAATCAGAGTCGAGCAAATGCCTCGAGTGGCACCATCTTGACTTTGGACAGTGCGTTTAAGGAACGCAGGATAGTTCTGATTGAGTATTCAGTGGAGCATTGTGGTGATAAGAGATTGTGATTAAAAGTGAGATCGGTGAATTGAACCTGCTGCTTGTGATAATTTAATCTAAAGTGTTATTTGTCATGTTGAAAGGAATTAATCTATACTCTGATTTTTAATCTATCATTTTATGACATGTCAGAGATTACAAACCTTTTTGGCCGGGCACATTTTTCAATTTCAATACGAGTCTGATCATCTGAGTCTATACATACATTTTATTTGTTAGTGATGTATCCATTTTATTAAGTGCGGTGCTCACATTAAAAAGTGGTTTTACGGCGAGTGATAATGGCGACCCTTTTCATCACAAATATTTAAAAAGGCACAAGTAAAGATAACATTTTTTAAAAGGTTTACTAAACCTGGAATTGGTAGGCAGTGATGCCAGCTAAAGAATAAACTATTTAAAGTTAATTCGATATATTGTTCGTGATATTGAAATATTTGTTATTTTTCTATTAGATCACTTGAGTAAGTAAATATTAAGATTTACCTTATTGTAGGTAAAACATTAAAAACACGTAGCATTTAATTTATTGTCCTCAAATAGGTCAAATTTGTCCCTTTTTCGGTGGAGAACTTTTTTAGTAGCAGCATTTATGAAATGTCGGAATTCTACGGAATGAAAAATCAGAGTATAAACGAAATACTGTACGATAATAATTATTCCTGTCTTTTGTGACTCTACCCACATGACGCCCGTTAATGACGAAGTCTATATCGATTGAGTGACAATATTTCTCCGACATATATCTCTTCTTCACTCTCTATTTATATATAATATCTCACCTAGCTGAAAACCCACTAAGCGGCTGGCTGCACCTCGTAATAGCAGCATTATTGTGGTGTAAATAAGCCAATACTGCCAGCCGTCCGCGTGATCTAAAGCTCGCACTACCCAAGAGTACTGTGCTCGACGCACGCGCAGGTACATATATAGCATTTGGGTAGGTATCACAGAGCTGTAAATAAATAAAATGATTTAAATAACACTGACTTCAAACACTTTTTTTTTTTTTAAAGAATTCACACCAATTGACCGAGTCCCATGCTAAGCTGGTGAAGCTTGTGTTATGGGTACTAGGCAACGGATATACATACATAGATAGATAGACATATAAATACATATTTAAACACCCAAGACCTAAGCACAACACCAAATGCTCATCACATCGATGTTCGTCTCAGCCGGGGATCGAACCCGGGACCCATGGATTCGCAGTCAGGGGTACTAACCACTAGACCAATGAGTCGTCCACTTGACAATTGAAAAAGAATTTTGTTAAATTTACAAAATTAGTTCAAAAAGAATAATCTCGATGTGGAATTTCCAAGAAATTTGAGGACTTTTCCACAAAGGCTTTTTGTCATTGGGAACTATCCATTTGTAGTAAAAGCTAATAGGCCGGGAGATAGTGACACATTAACGCATTCGCGTCGGTATGGCGGGCTATTAGTCACACCGGAGAAGTATGGCATAACACTGCCGCCTTTTATTTTTATGGAGATAATCCAGTAGAAAATACTAGAATTTTTGTGGAACAAATCGTTTGACACCCTAATTAATCCGACGAGTTCGACTTACGCCCACGCGATTGGGCCACCGGTACCAGCGCTCTGACCATCATTTTTCTTTTTTTCATTGCGTAATAAGACCCCTGAAGAACCGCCATACGGTACAAATGACCCACTATTTTGTGTAAATATCTCCCGGCCTATAATAAAAATATTGTGACCGAACGGATTATTGATTTAATTAAAATTTTGCAAATCGTTTTATACTAACTCTTCTAATTTATCAAGGAAACGCGATAACCAACATTTCAGATTATATTCCAATTAATTTCACGAAACCATAATGATTTATAATATACTAGCTTTACCCAGCCACGCTTCGCTGTGGCACATTGTTGGGAATAAGGCAAAAGATAAAAAATTTAAAAATATTTTTATCTTATGTTAGTACACACATGTTTTTTTAAATAGTAATTTAATTTTTTTATAAGACTTGACTGAAGATCTAGATATTATTACTACCTCATAGTCCTTATTAGCATTGCACAGCACCCAATGCTCATTAGGAACATTCATTCTTTGGTATTCCGTTTGTATATCGAAGAAATTCCAACCCGCTGACTTTGGTAAGTCTTCCGGAGTCGACTTGTAGTTGAAGCAGTACAGCTCTTCTATGTTCACTGAAATATTTACAATTAAATATTAAAAAAAAGATAACTTAGCGGTATCGCTTACATATAATCAGGTAACTACGAAAGAACCTCCAACTATTCAAAGTTAGAGGGTACTCCTCACTCAGGATCAACCGTGGTAGGGACAAGAAAATGATGGCGCGTAACCGAAAAATGTGACGGTAAATTTTTTTCCAACGCCGATAAAGAAGTTTGACTTCAAAAATCAACATGGCGCGTAACCGAAAAACGTGACGAGAAGTTTCACTTCTAAAAACCAGTGCTGCGAGAACCTTTTAGGTCTCAGATATCTGAGAAGTGATTTTTTCTGTCAACGTTTTGGGTTTAAGTAATGCTCCTTTCCTCAAGATTTTCTCCGTACGAGCGAGTGTTCAATGCGCATAGAAAAACAATTGGTGCAAAGCCGAGGTTCGAACCTCAGAGCACGCTTAATCCTGCTATAATAAAAAAATAATACAACAGATAAAAGTGTATGTTTAAATTATTATTACTACTACACCAATATTCAAAGAGTAAAGATTTGACTGAAACGAATTTGTTTTCACCATGCAAAATAATAATTACATTATCAGCAAATAACATAAGCTAAAGGTATATCTTAAATAATGTTGCCTAATTATAATTATTCCCTTCTGATAGATGTATCTCCCGGGTTCGGGTTACAATTTTTTTTTAATGGGCATATTCCAGTATTCCTTGCATTTTTTAAAATTATTTATACACTTCTTTCACTTTACCCAAATTGTTTCTGTTTTTAATTTTCCATACTAGGGTTGCCTGGGAAAAATCGCTTGTTAGAGATTTGGCCGCCCGTTGCCTTATAACACCTGTTTTTGCTGTAACGAAGTGTAATTTTTTTGTGCTGAATACTTCATAACATCTCGCTGCGACCGAATTCAGGTACAGCTGGACACAGCTAGTTATCCATAAAACAGCATCCAAACCCGTTCATGGCTTATTATTTTCCCCGGGAAGGGAACCCATAGTACTTTACTCCATACACTACCTTGGACATATCTTAGCTAGCTACTTTATCTTACCTGGCTGACTTAACCGCATCAGCGTCTGATGCATCTCATGGCAGTCACGTTCGCGAGGTATGACAAAGAAGACTGACTGAAAAGTCTTGGTGCGCACGAGTAGTGGTGACCCAGTGGTTGTTATCGGTAAACGCTCCACTGTTGATATGTGCGGGAGGAGAATCTGAAATAATTCATTTTAAACTTAATAAAGTTAACCATAGTTTTGTTATGAAAACACGAGTTATGTAACCTAACGTTAGTCTATAGTCTATACTATTAAAAAAAGGAAGGATTTGTGTCTAATGTTTGTAACCGATTTTAAAAATTCTTTCGCCATTTGAATGCTACATTATCACTGATTAATACAGGCTATTTTAATTTCAAGAAAAGAATAAGGCTACTAAAACTACAATGTTAACCAAGGTGTAATAAAAATGCCTATAAATTATCTTTCAACGCATGCGCTGCGAAAACTCTTGATGTTAGAACAAAAAAAATGTTACACAATAAAGAACATATCAATATCTACAAATATGTTTAAAAAATAAATGCTCACCCGCGCGATTCGGACCCCTAATTATAAATATATTTGTTAATAATAAATAGCGCAAACCAAATATTAACAATCATCTGACACCAATAAATTGTAAAACGTCAGTTTTGCTAGTAATAAATGAGCCCTTTAGTTTTTCATACATTCATAAATTGTAATAATAAAACATTCTCGTTTCCGATGTTCAATAGGTAGACTACATATACACTTTTATGTTAGTCCAGCGTCGAACCTTATACTAGTTATAATAGATTTTGTTTTAATAAAAGTGTTTCATTTATTTGAACATCCCTTCAACAACCCCCACCGAACATAATTGTATTTTTATTCTATATTCTAGGATCTATTCTTATATACAATGACCAATATTTAAGCTTTGACTTGTTTAAGCTGTAATATGCTTAGGGTCGATTCGACCAAACAAGAGTAAATCTTAATCTTAGAATAAATCGTCAGTTAATCGAGAGTAAATCAATTTTACGTTTTACCATCTACAAATTCTAAGAATAGTGGGGATTATTACTATACCGCCGTTTCGCACGGAATAACAGCTATTCCTAGAATAATTTAATGGCGTCAGTCAGTCCAATCAGCTGATTTCTGTCATTTCACAAATATGTATTCTGTGTTTTAATTTCAAGTCATTAGTCAACCCAATGTACTAAATTAATAGTCTGGCATTGTATAATGAAACGTTTAAACAATTTATTATTTATTTATTTATTTATTTATTTATTTGTAGATTTTTTATTTTCTATAATACTATAATGAAATTCAACTAGGCTCAACAGAAGTTCCTTTTTAGACGAAAGCCTCAAACAAACAACAAATAAAAACTTTTTGTTGGCGTTTGACAACTGTTAAAAGTTACTTTTTCACACAATAATACGGCAAAATCGAGTTGGCATGATGTATACTCTTACACTGTCCCGTTGTAGAACAACATTTATTTGCCGAGTTTTATTTTCGTTCACCATTCTCTTTGCTATTCGCGTATTGTTATTCCTAGCGCAATTATACTATCGATTACGTGGACAAACGACTATGGATTTACTCGAGATTAAAATCATGGAATAGGTTATTCGTGGTATAGTTACTCGTGTATAAATTGAAGTTTGGTCGAATCGACCCTTAAAAGGAGTATTAAGAATGTCCACTGCGCTAAATCGCCTACATCATGAGAACACCCCACATACTCACCCTCACTATCACACCATCACACAACACAGCCGAATTAGGTATTACTTAGTTAAATGTATTTAATAATTTTTATTTATTTTTGTCCTTTAGAAAATTATATCTTCCATATTTGGCTTAATTGCTTAATTGTTGTTTGTTATATGAGTATACTTTGTATGTTTATTTATGTTAGCTAGCTATTTATTATGAAATAAATAAATAAATATTTTGATTTTATTTTTATTTACTTACACTGTTAATTTTTGCTATTATTATTATAACATTATTTTTCTTTTTTGCATCTGAGGAGCAAAGTAACTGTTGTGGTCTCTGGCAGAATGACCAGCGCTGTAGAACCCGTCTGCTCCACAGCATAATGCTGAGCCAGGGCCAGTTACTACCACAACACACACATTACACACTTTAAATGTACCTTATTCCATTTTTTCCATACTTTTTGTAATTTTTGATTATTATAATTTTGTGTGTTTCTGTGTGTATGTTTCGTTAGAAACAAATGTTATGTCTATCTAACAAACCGAAAACCAACCTACAGACTCTTCCTTAGGCTCCACTCTTCCTAATAAGGAAGATACCTATAGAGCAGCGTTGCCAGACGTCCCGATTTTGGCGGGACGTCCCGATTATTAAATCAAAATGAAATGTCCCGCGCGGGACAGGCTTAGTCCCGCTTTTCGGGAATAACTCGATAGCAATAAGAAGTGTGAACTACCACCACCGCACAATAATGGATTATGGAACCAACTCTTTCAACAGTATCCAAAAAAAAATACCATGATTATCTTCAAACTTTATATTAAGTATCCTACCATCAAACTGCTTTCCAAAACGCCTTTCATTTTGAAATGCTTCGTAAATTTAATGAAATCAGAGTTGCTCATCAAGTTTAATCTGCAGCTAGAAGAGTTCTTCGTCTTTTTTAAAGAGAAAAATGAAACTTTTAAAGAAGTTATATCTTCATAGAAATATTATGAATAAGTAATTCTTATAAATAATTATAACTGTCTTATTGTAAGTTGTAATTTAAAACACTCACTCTTCAGAGTATTGTTTGAGACGCCATATTTTTCTAATAAATAAAACTTTTTTTATTTTGTTTTTTAATCAGAAGATGAATAAGAACTATTTAACGATAGGTTTAATCTGATTTAAATACATTTTCTGTGACTATTTTCGTTGTCTATTGTCACGCAAACGTGATTTGAACTCAATTAAAAACATAAATATTTAAAAACTTCTGATTATTATTTTTTTAATATGTCCCGCTTTCGACAAATGAATCCCGCTTTTTTCACTTTAAAAGTGCCAAAATCCCGACTTGACTAAAAAGAAATCTGGCAACGCTGCTATAGAGTATATCTCTATAGTAAAAATACTAACACAATAATAAAAGTTAATTCATTGTTTACCCATGTTTCTTTCCTCATCTCATGGTCCACAAAGATTAGGTGTGTTGTTGCGAAGTACAATGTGCCCTTTGATGGGTTCCGAAGGTTGTATTTGTCCAGCAGCTGTACATTCTCCAACTGTAACAATAGAATAAATATGGCATTGTATTCAAAAGAAAAAAAAAATACATGTTTATTTGGTTCCTTCCTTATATTTTTCCTGGCACGAACATATGTAAATGACGCATGTTATAAGGGCTTTTTTTTTTTTATATCCGAGGTGGAAATGCATTTGCGCATCCCCTGAACAGGGGTATGTGGGACTCGACCCACGCCAAAATCTCTGCTATTCAGAGACTGGGTGAGCAATACCCACTAAAACCACCTCGAGTAGTTCCGACAAAGCCGCGTTACAGAGGCTCCGGGGTCGCTGTCGCATTCTACCGGGACCATGTTATAAGGGCTGGACTCGGGTTGAGTTACTTTATCAAAGGCGTGAATCGTACACTTAACACTTGGTTAACAGTCTATAGCAGTGTTTCCCAATATGGGGCCCATGCCCCACAGGCAATTCGATTATTAAAATCCATTCATTAGTTTTTACGTGAAAGAGTATCAAAGCTCCATACTTACGAACTTTCGCGTTTATAATCATTAGAATGTAGACGTAAACAATACGACCTTATGTTTTTACACGCTATTTGCAACGGTTTAATTGACTGTCCTGACTTATTGTCGCTTTTACTATTTCACACCCCTTCTTCATACAATACAAGGCAAACCCAACTATTTAAAATTCCTCGGTCTAATACAAACTATTTACGTAACTCAGTCATGTATCGTATACCTTCTGATTATAACACAAATTACGAGCAAAAAGATATCTAACTAAAAAAAGTTTAAAAAATAATTTAAAAAACTCTGGTATCTTTTATTAATAATGCCTTTGTTATTCTTCCTTTATATTAAATATATATTATAATGATCAATGAATCTTAGAACTTAATAACTAAATACATATATTCTTTGTATATTTTTTGTATTGTATAGGTGAAACTGTGCTTTGTGTATGTTTAAATGTGTATTACGTTTTTGACTTTTGTGTACAGTGTAATTGTTTGAATATTGTTTAGTAAGTAGCTGTAGGAATACCGTTGAGCTAATAAATAAATAAATATAGTTTAAAGCACATCAAAGGTTGCTCGATAGACGAAAAATATGGCACAGAGCGCCCCACGCTTTTTCACAATAATACCAGTATTTTTTGTTCATTACCATTTTCAGCCTAAATTAGGAATTATTTTTCACTTTTTAGTTTGATGTGCTTTAAAAGCGTGTTTTATAGTTTTTTCAAACTATATTTATTTTACACTTTTTAGTCCTAGCAGCAATACGTGTTGTCTCAATTTAATCGTATTGCTTTGTGGACTTAAAAAAAATTTCATTGTTTTTTCGAGATAAACCTATGAAATTATTATATTGTCGCGGATTCTTTATAAGTGTACACCGTTTAAAGTGGGTCATAATCGAGTCCGAAGGAGTCGGTTACATACATACATACAGGTGAAGCTAATATAATGCGTGTAATAAATAAAATAAATAATATTAGTAGGATTCTTTCTGTTTTTTATATGTTATAATAAAACATTACTATAAACTATTATCATAGACTCTAGTGTGTTCCAGTGAAATTCAAACCGAGTCTATCAAGCGACTTTCTAAGAATACGTTCCACTGAAGACGAACACAAAAGATCTTAAGTTTCGAAGGAGATTCTTTACATGACTAAGCATTGTTCGCCTGTCTATCAAGCGTTCGCTGAGACCTTTTCGAAATATAAGCGTGTTATGTTTAAAGTATACGTTATGGGTCAGATATATTTCTGTTTGATCGATAATCTGTACAACGGTAGAGGTCGCATTACTTTAATGAAATCATGATTCGCACATTGAATTTAATAATAATAGCATTTTATTTACACCACGATAACACAAAACAGGAGAAAAATAAGATTAAATAAATGAAGACAAAGGATTTAAATGGACGGTCTTACTGCTAAAACTTTTTTAGATCTGGGCCTCAGATTTCTGTATCTGTTTCATGATCATTTGGCAATCTAATAGGCAAGTAGGTGATCAGCCTCCCGTGCCCGGAGATCGTAAGAGATCTCCAGGAAGCAGTAGCGCAGCACTACCACGACGGGGTTGGGGTATCACGACACTCAGCAGCAAGCGATCAGAGGAGGAATTTTTATTTTTAGATTACTTAATCTAATAAAATGTACGCAATGTTGCAAATGCTATTTTTTTTAAACCAGAAAGTATTATATACCTAACCCTGTTGGTTGTGTATATAATGTAATCAATAGGTACGCGTGCATCTTAACTTAACTTAATTTTAACAAATTAAGGTGTCCTAACAGCTCACTAGTACAATCGCATTCAATTAATTCAAACTTTCACTTCAGGATTCGTCAGTACTTATTTGGAAAGCGATACTAATCTGACTCCCTTTGACGTCTCTATTCGCTACAGCGTAAACACAATTTGCCAGAACGAGACAATGTTACCAGTTATTAAAGAATTTTATGAAAAAGGTAATAAAAAAGACGAGACAACATACCATTTTCATTTAGTCCGTAATGTCCAGTCGCAAAACACAACGCGTGGGAGTATTAAGACTAATGTTCTGGTGTTAGGTTTAATCACTCTGAGTGTATACTATTTGTGGTAAACTTCTTCGAGTAAAAGGTATTTTCTAGACTTAAGCGTCAAGTCGTCGACTATAAATATAGTCTATAAATCCTTTACTTTTATTTATCTGTGCTTATTTAAGAATGTATGTCTCAATTAAACGTAGGGTAACTGTAGCGGCGAAGACACATAAAAGTAGACCGAGAGGGGAGTGGAATGCGGCGTTAGTCCTCCGTCCCTTCACTCGAGAGAAGAAGAAGACCACAAATAAAGCAAAAGCGTAGAAGCAACAAAAAGCATGAGCTCGCGTTCACGGTTGCAAGTTTTCTCTGCTGCGAAAGCATGTAAAATGATTCCTATATTTGAGTATGACAAGAGACACCGAGTGGTGTTTAAGGAATGGGTGCGGTTAGGACAGAATAGAGAGAGGCGATAGGTATTTTCTTATAGAACTGGAGGCAAACGGGCAGGAGGCTCACCTGATGTTAAATGATACAGCCGCCCATGGACACTCAATACCAAAGCTTTAGAATCTCTTATGTCGAATTGGTTCGGAAATACTTCAGTGGGCAGCTGGTTCCACATAGTGGTTGTGCGCAAAAACTGCCTTAAAAAATGCTCAGTTGTGGAACGGCGGACGTCGAAGCGATAGAGGTGCAATTTCGTATTCTGCCTCGACGTCCAATGAAACTCAGCTGCAGGTATTCAAAATTCAAAATTCAAAAATCATTTATTCACGTAGGTAACACAATGTACACTTGTGATTCGTCATTAAAGAAATACAAATTAATGCTTCTAATTTTACATTTACTGCCAGTTCTCAAATCAAGGGCGTAGAACGGAAGAGAAGAACTGGCAATAAACTCTCCGCCACTCTTTTTAATCGCCATGTTTTTTTTACACAACGTTTGTAAGGAGCTGCAACCATTACACCATGTTTCACATGACATCTTAAGTAATTAATAATAATAACATAAATTAAAAAAACAAAGACTTGTCCTCTATCAGCAGGAGGCATGGTGAAATAGGAGCACGCACTTACATTCTCGTGGGAACAACACGCAAACACATAGTCGAAATAATTAACATCACCGCATACACGAATTCAAGTACGACCAGTCACCACAAGTAGCACCCGTTCACGAGTATGACGCATGGCCAGCCATAGGCCACCTAGCCATATTTTAGGGAGAGAGACAACCCGACGCATGGACGCCGTACAACTCCTCCAAACTACTTGGATGGCGTGATCAGAAACTAATATTATTTTTAAACAATACTTAAGGTCGTAAAATTACAATTATTTATGTATCCTAAAGTCTTCAATAAATGAACGTTACACGCGTTATCAATTCCCTCCACTTTCGCATTTAACCTATATCTGAAAAAACAGTGTCGCCATAACACATAGTTTTGGTCCCAAATAACTTTTTGTTTTCTTAAAATTGCCCAAAGGAAAACGAACAAGGAGTCAGCCTTCTCTACCTGACACAGTTCGATTTTCGAAACGATTGCTCATGTTGCACTGTACCTCAGTAGAAAGAGTAAAGAATGGATGAAGAGATACGCGATTTCAGTATTGTCACCCTAACCACTGCGCAGACTCCTCACATATCGTCACTGTAGAATGATAACCTCGTATGTCAAAAAAAATTTTATTTTTGAAGTTATACTTTTTAAAAAAAATGAGAGTGAAAATTTACGATGCGCGCGCACCGTGACACAAAATTAACAGAATGAAGTTGCCCACGGAAGATGCTACGGCATTGGACATAATTTAAAAACAACATTCGAATAATAATAGAATTTATGTTACACTTAATGTAAGAGATAAATATTTATTTATTAAATTTTTCAAATGTAAACTGAACTTTATTGACTATAATGACTCCTTTTCCAGTATTTGATTATTTAATTGTAATTAATTATTTGCATGCAATCAAAAACTATTTTTAATAATGCCAAAGAAGTATAACTTCTTACGCGCCTACATAAGTACACGCATCCTTTTTTTTATTCTTAGACTCTTATATTATTTAACTGGTGAACTAATGAAGTAAGGACTTATTTTTCTTATTAATATACTGTAATGTTTGATTCTCTGGACATACGAGGTTATCACTCTACAGCGACGATATAACTGTCGATTTAGAAACAAAAAGGTAATAAAACAATCTTCATTATAACAATTCGAATATTAATTCGCTTCAGGGACACGAAACCACTCCAGGCCAATCGCCCGGGGGATGTTCGCGCAAATTCTACACAAATTTTAGAGCTCAACTTTGTTATGACATCGACAATAGACCTTTTATAAAGCATTTGGAGTTGTTTTCGTGTTTTTATGTTTAATGAAGGGCTTAGGAACGTTATACCGACTGCTCGTTTATACGGGTTATAGTTTCAGAATGCCGAGTTTTCGTTAATTATAATAATACTAGCTGCCCCCGCGAACTTCGTTTCTCCTTAATGTGATTTTACTTAACCTACCATTATGTACATACCAACATGGAACGTTTTGTTATGCTACCCCAGAGCCTGTTCGGTTTTCTGGAATTAACACTTTTAAGGGTTTTCTGTAAATTTTTCTCTATATAGAGATCCTATATATCCGATTCTCAGACTTACTGAATATGCATGAAAAATTTCATAAGAATCGGTCAAGCTGTTTCGGAGGAGTATGGGAACGAAAATTGTGACACGAGAATTATATATTATATATGGGATTAGCCTATAAAGGCTAGACTGCAGCTCATGGAAATTCTTATCAATGTCGCCTTTCTTTTAAAAGTGTAATATATTTTTTTGTTTCGTGATGCATGAGAGTCAATGCCAGAGGGTGCTCGCGAGTGCGTTGCCGGCTTTCTAGGAATAAGTCCGCCTTTTTTTTTGAAGGACCATTAGTTTGAAAGTACATCAGTGGGTACCTGGTTCCACTTTTAATATGTTTTATTTACTTTCTTTCTTTTAATTCTAAATGTCGTACTTACTTATACATATTTTTTATATTTTAATAAGTCAGGCGATGACGAAGCTGTCGTTCATCCATCTCAATCCATCATCTCTCGCCTTCCATTAAATCTAAAGGTCCTAATATTTTTGCAGAAACCATATATGTGAGCAATATTTTACAAAGGATCAGACCAGTAGCGGAAGCTGAACGGAATGTCCAATTTCACTTTGGTAGGAATGTTCTTTTTGCTGTTTTAATTTACATTCTATTTGAAATGAATGATCTAGCCAACATCGGTGAGTTAGATTAACGTTATAAATATATAAACTCTTTTCTTTTCAAAAAACAACAGAGTTGAGAATTTTTTACCGACTTATGTTTTTTAGAAAGTATAAGATAACGAGGAACAGGGTTACCCAAAGTAAAGTGATACCGCCGCCCATGGACACTCACTAAAAGGCTCACAAGTGCGTTGCCGGCCTCTTAAAAATTGGTACGCTCTTTTCTACACTACGTCGAAGTGTTCGGAAAAACTTCAGTGGCAGCTACCCACATTGTGGTAGTGCGAAGCAAAAACTGCCTTAAAAAACCCTCAGTTATTGAACGAGGTGATACGGGTAGAATTTCGTATTCTGCCTCGGCAACCGATGATGAAACTCAGCTGTAAATGCGGTAGAAGATCCAGAGACTGACATCGCTACGCAACGCCAAGGGATCAAGCCGGAAAGTGAGTGGTCATCGATTCGATAATACAAAAACTTTTGTTATATACTATAATAAATATTTAAAGCAGAGGTAGCGTAGAGGTAGTATATAGATAGCCTAAGAAACATGAACCACTATATAACAAATATTTCAAATAATAACTTATTTACTTCATATAATTATCAACCTTTTGGAGAAATCGAACATGATACTCTCATAATTAATTGATATTTATACGAGCTAGTAAATAATTAAGATATACTATATTAATTTCTATATCATTAGCGTAAATTATGTTCTAGACTTTATAAATTGATATTTCCCGCGACTGAAGGGGTTTATAAAATCTCTGTATTATTTAAAATGTATAAACTGTTCTTGCGACGCAGTTATAGATAGATGTTATTGGGTATAGTCATTGAGGTAACTGTTTTAGTCTAGATTACAGTCTAAATCTAATAATACCATGTACCACTAATTCAGATGGGTGGGTCCAGACCAAGTCGGGTTGGTTGAAGGGAAATCGGCTTCATACTGTCAGGGAGTGGAGGGGTATTGCAAGTCTGGAGATGTTGCACTTTATTATTTGCGACACTGACGACGAATTCAGTAATGAAGAGTTACCACAAGTTTTTGTTTTATATACGTTTTGTCAAATACGTAGTAAAGGCTGTCGACACATCTAAGTGGCGGTGGCCACATGGCGAGCATAGACAAAACCCGTTGGAAACGTAGGCTCCTTGGATGGAGACCTCGACAACAAAAGACCGCGCGGCCGATCACTGACTAGGTGGACTGGCGACATCGTCAAGGAGGTTGGCTCCCAGTGGATTCAGAGAGGCCAGTGCATAGCGGAGGAAAATAGATGCCTATGTCCAGAAATTGACCAAAGAAAGAGGACGATGATGATTACTAAATATCAAGAAACTCCTCGATTATGATTTTAACTAAATCGCAATACTAAAACAAATAGATTTATATTACTTATTTTAGTAGGTTTTTATTTTTTCAATTGTTTCCTTGAGACTTACGTACAAACAAAATTTATTTCTACAATTTCCTCCGTCGAAATAGAAACAAATCCCTCGTAAACATTCAAATAAGAATTCTCAAAGAGAGATTTATTTCTATCATTTTCAGTGAAACGTAAACAATGTATATTAACTTGTTTAACAAAAGCTTAGACAAAACAATTTAGTAATACTTAGATGATTGTTTACCGATTGCGTTGGTATAAAGGAGCTTGTTGCTTTAGCCTCAAAACATAACCAGCGGCTACAACCTTATTAGGTCTGGGCCTCATTTCTGTATCATTTGTCAATCTAATAGGCAAGTCAATACGCCTCCTGTGCCTGATACATGCCGTCGATATTTTGAACGATGTCTTCCTTCACCGTTCGAGCGAATGTTTAATGCGCATAGAAAGAAATTCCAATGGCGCGCAGCCGGGGATCGAACCTACAACCTCAGGGATCAGAGTCGCACGCTGAATCTACTAGGCCAACATTTATGAGATTAAAGGCATTTGCAAAAAAAATAACCGGACAGTTTATTGCCAGTTTTTCTCGTCAGTTCTACGCGCTTGATTTGAGAACTGGCAGTAAATGTAAAATTACAAGCATTTTGTATGTATTTCTTTATTGACGTTCATAAGTGTATATTGTGTTAGCTTAATGAAGAAATGATTTTTAATTTGAATTTGATTTACAATTATGTACCTTACTACGAATCATATACTGAATTTAATAACAAAGTATAATTAGCTCATTACAGGTAATTTAATAAAAATTTCTCAAGAAAAATATCTGTAGAAATAACACAAAAAGACGACGCAATGTAAAGTAATATATTTTCACTAACACAGACTAATAAACGTTTATTTTGTTGAAACTTAATGAAATGAAGGATCATTCGTGGAAAGTTACCTAGTTAATAAAACAAAAATAGCTCGGTGTATGCGGACTGTATTGAATTGTTAATGCAAGCAAATCGATTAACTTCTTTTTTTTTAAATCGATTAACATTATCTCTTTTTCGTCGGAGCCGCCAGTTTATTCTTATTGACCTTAAATACTTCATCAACAACACGGTTCAGAGGACTAAGAAGCTGATCTGCCATCACCATAATGTGCTGTCGTCTTTGATGTACAAGGTCCATGCTACGATGAGCGCACACCTCGAATGCATCACAAGCTTTCATAACCGCTGCAGTGGCTTTAACCGCCTCTGATGCTGAATAGCTCCCGCCTTCCACTGGTAATTTTATATCCGAAACCAAATGAAACGTCGCAATACGAGCTGACTGGAGACGGTGTTGAATATTCTTTTTATACTTCTCAATAGCGTTGTCTAAAGACTCTTCAAAATTACGCCGATACATCAAAAGGCGAGGGGCGTAACTGCTCATCTTTAATCTCTTCTTTTCTGGATCAGGGTCGCTGGCTAACAACTGATCCAAATCAGACTGAATTTTACCGGCCCAATACGTTAGCGGATATAATTCCGGTGAATCTAGTCCTAAATATCCAGCTATTTCTATCGGCAGTTTCTCCACAAGTTTATTCATAGCAGTCAAGTGAGACGCTAGAATATATTCGTGAGACTTCAAGTCAGCCAAACGTGCCTCACGCGCGGCTTTGAGACGTTCCAGCCTCACGCTATGAGACATAAGCTTTAATGAGTAACGCATGTTCACTTGCATTGTTCGCTCATCGATCCACCTACGGGCCTGACAATTAATCTTTTCCGGGACCAATGGTACGTTATTTCGTAAGGACTCTAGAAATCCATTTCTCCAATTATATAGAGCAACATCTTGTAAATGTGTTTGTAAAACCACACGGGGAAGAGGAGCTCTCAACGAGATTAAAGTTTGCCGTCTCGGGGAAACTAAGTCTGGCGAACTATTCAAACTTTGGTCGGAGTTTAAAGGACACTTTGGATATTTTTCAAAGAAGCACTCATATTCCGCTAGCATAATATTAGTCATTAGAAGTGGCAGGTTCATATATTCCTCAATCTTTTTAACCTCCATTTCATAATTCTGTTGGTAGACTTCCTCAATTTTATTCAGCATAGTTTTTAAATTATCAAATAGTTGCTGAAGCTTATCAACATCAGAGGCGACTTGTAGCTGCTCTAAGCCAATATTGAATACGACCTCATTAGCTTGTTCTATAGAATCGTGAGCCGTCATCATATCTTCAACACCTGTAATAATAAGTTTCTGAGCAAGCGCGGACCGTAATATGTGGTCATCCCACAAATAGCTGGCGTCGTGTAGGATCAAATACGTGCTTTGGAGACGATCTCCAAAATGATACAAACTTTTTTGCATATTGACGACGTCATTAAATGCAATATCAAGAAGCAATTTTTCAATGCGCACTTTGCTCTCTGTGAAACTATTTGAAAATTTATCAAAAGCTTGATCAATTGTTGTTTGTATTTTTGATAACACAGATTTGCGTGGTTTCTCAACATATAGGTAATTATCGATTTCTTCTTGCAAATTTTTGAGTTGGCCGCTAAAGTCTGTACAAAGTTTTATAATCGCCGCTCTGTATGCCTGCACTAAATGAGCTACATATCCCTTAAATTCCTCCATATTTGTGCCAGGAGAAGCGCCTGATGTTTTTTTTATCGTCTCCAGCTCTAAGCTAGAAGACCGTGTCCGTTGTATTGACTCATTCATCCAGGGCAGAGCACTTCTTCCTCTAATATAGGATGTTTTTTCCAAACACATCTCATTAAGTGAGGACCTTATACGAATGATATAGGTGTCGGCTTGGTTCCGCAACTGAGCCTCTAATTCTGTGTAAGCACGGCAATTGCTTATCAGCTGCTGATTAATTGCGTACATACGTTCATCGAAATCATGAAGTAAATCTTTGGGAGATTTATGTCCTACTTCGACTAAATTCTGAAACTGTTTCTTGAGAACGCTTTTGAGTCCATCAAGACGCTGCCTTTCTAATCCAAGTGCTTCCTGCTTAAACTGAACAAGGCTTTGTGTCCAACTTGAAAATACTCCAGTAATAAGCTTAAAACAATCGTTACGACGTTCGAGACTCAGTACATCAACTGGTTTTGATTCTATTAGTTTACATTCAATATCTTGTTGGTGTTTTTTGATGTCTGCAAGAAGTACTTCAGCTAGTGACCTTACTTGAGCATCTATGTCAACGTTGACAGCATTGGCTTCCCTTTTTATATCGGAAATTACATTATTATGATCTTGCTCTCGCTTTTCAAGGTATTTCTTAAGAGTAGGTCCGCCACGACGAGGTGTCCATTCTTGTGGCAGCGACGTCACCGCGGCCAAGTCATCTGAGCATCCAGGGACCGCAGTTAAATATTTTAAATCAGTTTTTAATTTACATTTACAACTCCTATCTATTTTCGTATTGCGTAACATTGAAAATGGGGACACTTCAAAAATAAATAATTATTGCAATCAATGTCATTACGTTACTATCAGAAAAAAATTACGCAAAGAGGATTTATTTGAAACTAGTGTCACTGAAAAAAATCTAAATATTAAAAGAAAATCGCAAATATGTTACTAAGCTCAAATCTCGACCGGCTAGACTAATTCGAGTAATTGTTTTTATTTATTCCTTTTTTAGCTTTTTAGGAAGGTTTTTGTGGAAAGAAAAAAAATACAAAAAAGGTTTTATTTAGTACTAATGCGATCATTAGCAAAAGCGAACAGTTTCAATGAGGCAGCATAGCAAAATGTTGACCTCTGTAGCTACTTAAAAGGCTAAGTAAAAAATCATATTAAGACGAAACGGAATTCGCGGGGGCAGCTAGCAATGTATAATGTTATTACAAATTCAGGCGAATAACGTTTCAAGACGATCTTAATTACAATTCATTCGATATTATATACAATTCATCACGCTTCCATTCATAATAGTCTGTGATGTTCCCGGTTTGAGTCGATCTTCCGAATTGAATATCAAAGGAATTTTCCGGATGACTTAAATTCTCTTGACACGCGTAAATGATGTTAGGATCCTTGTTAAAATCACAATGAATTCAGCTTGAATACAGATGTTTCTGTGACGTATTTATTACGTTATTCAGTAAAAATTTCATATTCACCGATGAATAGGAATTTTATTAAGTTTGAATACATGAATATTATCTTAATTAACATACTGCCATTAAGATAATTTAAAACTTGTTTTATTGACATCGTAAAGGCTGGTTTACGCCGAGGCAACAACGTGCGACAGTGCCGCATGCTACACATTGCGGCATGCGGCACCTTGTGGCATGCTACAAATAGAAAGCATTTGCGGCATATGTGGGATAGCGCAGCCTATTTTACGCCGAGGCAACATCGTGCCTGGATAATTTTCGAAGAATTATGATGTTTATGGAGTGTTACTGGTCTACCTAGTAACTTTAGCAGCAGCTTATTTAGTACTACTAAGCCATGCAGCTAAACAACGGAGGAAGAAACGTTGGTGGAAAAGAAGATTACTTCAGAATTGCCCACGGACTAGTTTACTAACTAAAAATTAAGGTAGACGATAGAGCCTTATTTAAAAACTGTACCACAATGTCAACTGTGGACTTTGAAGACTTTTTATTTTAAGTCTAAATATTTTTCGTTACACCACTTCATGACCGATTATTCTTAGTTTCCAAAACAAAAACAACCTACAAACTGTTTTGACGCACGAAAAATGTCGCATGGAATCCATTGTGCTCGGATACAAGCTGCGACAGTCTGACGCAAGATGTTGTCATGCCGCACGGTTCTTGCCACAATGTGCGACATTTTTACCTTTGTAGCATGCGGCCTTGTGGCATGCCGCAATGCCGCACAGTGTTGCCCCGGTGTAATATAGGCTTTATAGATGCAATACACCATAAAATGAATAAAAATATTCATTCCCTGTTTGTCTCAGTAATAGTTTTTTCGGCTCAAATCTATTTTAAAATTCTCGTAAAACATTGTAGAAAAATCGTGTAGGTTTGCTTTTCCACATCAAAAGCGTAATAGCGTCAACATATTTAAACTGATTACCAACAGATATACATATGTATGTACATACATTATATGAGCGTGAATTTCTCACATAATGCTTTGAAACGAATCCCGGATTATAACGGGGCAATATGCAAAGGGGCTAAATCTAATATTTACGTACGTGTATGTACGGCACGTCTGGACATATATATTTTGTATATAAAATATAGCATATGTCACACAGGTTATCCCTGAGTTGAGAATTTTAAAATATATAGCTTTGAGACAAAGTTTTTGAGATTATTAAAAACAAAAATACAGATTTCCTCTGTGTATATATACATAAGTATATAAAAGTTTAGAGTATATAGTTAATATACAAGGCAACGGGTTTTTTTGGGTAAAAAATAATGATATAGGTGATTTAAAGAAAAAACTTTTTAACCGGATTAAAGTTATGTATTATTATAAATTTACAATTATTGCGACTGTGGCCTGTCTTACATAGGGCAAACTAAACGCAATATGTCCAGCAGACTCAAAGAACACATTGCGGACATAAGACATAGACGACACACAAAATCAGCAGTCTGTGAACACATACTAGATAGTCCTAATCACTACATACGCTTTGACCAACCGAAAGTACTTGCGAAAGAAAAAAAGATTCTTCCCAAGATTGGTACGCGAAGCCATTGAAATCAAAAAACACCCCAATTTCAATAGAGAAGACGGCCTAAAATTGTCAAACACCTAGGATCCAATAATATCCAAATTAAAATCTCAAAAAGAAAAACAATCCGCGAAAACAGAGGACACCGTGAGCCATTTTTGCCAAAACCCTCCATCTTTTAGTCGATGCCAACTCCGGGGAAATAAATACAGATAATGCAACTTTCTCTACAGCTGTGATAATTTTTGACATCCAACACCTTTTGTCTTCAGTCACCGTGACCACGCACGCTGTAAAGCACGCGAAACGTCGGATAAATTTAAAATCATGTTAAATAATTGTAAATATTTAACTGTGACTTCCGGCACCATCACTTTAGTACGGCACTAGGTTTTTCGACATTTATTTTTAATCATCTATACACTTATAACAAAGCCGTACATTAATAATTGGTCGAAATTCCTCCTTCGTATCTGAGAAATTCCATTCACTCACGTACTCACATGTACCGCTCAGAAATGACGGCATAGTGCTCAGTGTTATTTTCAGATATAGTAACAGCCTTCTAAACGTAATTCACGTTGGGTCATTTCACAGGTATTTTTTGTTCATGGGCTTGTGGTCTATTGGTGTGGGGCAAACATTTCCTTAAAAACCGTTCAATTGGAACAACGGACGTCGAGGTGATACGGGTGAATTTTGGTATTCTGCCTCGACGTCCGATGATGAATCTAAATTAAGATACTTACCTAAAATTAAAACCTATTTTGACTTTTCCATTAGGCTTTATTTGATGTTTAAACATTAATTAATTTTTTATATTAATATTATTTGAAAAACTAAACATAGCATACAAACTAAAGCGTAACAATTGTTGTTTCACAGATAGAACCCAGAACTTGCATTTGCGCCATTAGTCATAGCAACATCCAACCAAAGACTTAACAGCAAAAAAAGTTACAACAAAATTTAGTCATCACGGTAAAGTAACTTTCTTTGAGTAAATATTAAACTTTGATTACTTTGAAATCTAAAAAGTTTCCAAACCAGAGATTCACTGAGGGATAACTAGCAATACAATTCATCCACGTGTAACATTTGGTTGCTAGTTTAAAATCTGTGTTGCTGGTGACACCAACTTCAATTAAATATTATTTCTGATCTTTCTCTAAACCCATAAGACAAGAAATTACTTAACCACCTCTTGAGGAACTAAAAAATTCTAAATAAATGAGTGTAAATAATAATTTTTCATCAAACTATTGTGTTTTAAGTTTTTTCATTTATTTATTGCTGTTTATTATTCATAAGGAACAAATTATGTTCAGTCTAACATGGGTTCATTCAAGCGGCAGATAAATAGGCATCTCCTGGACAGGCGTAACCTCCAATAAGCATCTCACTTAACATTGTGGCCAAATATCTATCCAATTCTGTATACAAAAAAAAACAAAACTTCTATACTCAATTCTTTTCAATCCCAAAACTCCCTCGTCTTAAAAATGAATTCAAATTCTCAGGTCCTTCACTTCTTGCACTTTACCCATCATATATTTTTTTTTTTAGTTTTTGTCCTTACAAGGGTTGCCTTGAAGAGATAATCAGCGATAAGGCCGCTCGTTGCATCCTTCATAATTTGTATGTACTGTTATTTAATTTTCTATAAATATAACCAAGTGTAAATAAATAATTAATTACTTAGCCTTAGCTAGTTTGACATCTTACATTGTTAGTACAGTCGTTAAATTGTCGAGGCTTAATTTTATTTGATAATAAAATTACAAGGGACGTAGTTAGCAATAATTGTATATATAGTATAAATGCTACAAAATAATGTGTAGGAAACAAATTTAATTAAACCCTCGCCAAACAAAGAGATCTTCATTTTTCGTCTGTTATTTATATTCAGGTTGCGTAGTTCATTACCACACTCGAAAAGGCTTTATCTATTTCGGCTGAGTCATTCCACACAATTGCGGTAAGAAATTCACCTAACAAATAAGTTTTCTCCTTGAGGAATGAATTCTCTTGATTAATGATTTTACTAATTCTGTAAATTACTATATTATTAATAGAACTAGAAAACGTAAACTTAATTTTGGACAAAATATCACTATTAAGACGTGTAATTATGTAGTGTTATTTGAATTACCCACCTATTATATTTTTTTCTCATGTAAGAGTTAAATACAAATTTTTGGTTTTAACGAGAATACATTTCTTTAAACCAACATACATAAAAATATACGACAATTTCCCACCTGAGGTAATATCCTAACAATGTGAATTCTAAAGTTATACCCAGATCAAAAAGTTATAATTGTTGGAATTCGACAGACTTTGCTAACTTCAAAGTCAGTGAGACTTACAAAAGAAACTTGAATTGATTCAAAATTTCAAAACTGAAGGAACTTATGTAAAACAATTTTATTACATAAATAAAATAAATGTCTTGCCTCAGATTTCTGAATCTGTTTCATGATCATTTTTAAATCTAATAAGCAACTAGGTAATCAGCCTCCAGTGCCTGACACACGTCGTCTTTTTGGGTATAAGACATGTCGGTTTCCTCCCGATGTTTTCCTTCAACGTTCGAGCAAATGTTAAATGCGCACACAGAAAGAAATTATTTTATTATATACAAACTTTGTTATATACTCTCAAACATTGTCATCAATATAAACTTATCAGACGTACCTTACAATACACAAACTGTACTAAATTTACCGCAACGCGTGCGGACGCACTGGGTTCGTAG